AACTTCCAATTGTGACCCCTTGTTTCTGTGTCCCACCTCTGGAACATCCTGTCTCTGCCCCCCTTGTCAATTCCTCGCAGTATTTTGTATGTCGTAACCTTCCTGTTCTCCAGTGTCGTAAGGCCGATTTCCCTTAACCTTTCTTCGTAGGACATTCCTCTTAGCTCTGGAACTAGCCTTGTTGAAAACCTTTGCACTTTCTCTAATTTCTTGACGTACTTGACAAGGTGTGGGTTCCAAACTGGTGCTGCGTACTCCAGTTTGGGCCTGACGGACACGGTGTACAGAGTCTTGAACGATTCCTTACTGAAGCATCGGAACGCTATTCTCAGGTTTGCCAGGCGCCCATATGCTGAAGCAGTTATCTGGTTGATGTGTGCTTCAGATGTGCTCGGTATTATACTCATCCATATCCTCATATTCCCCCTGATTGTGGTTGCAGGGGTCGAGTCACAGCTCCTGGCCCCGCCTCTTCACTGGCCGCTACTAGGTCACTCTTCCTGCTCCATGAGCTTTATCATACCTCTTCTTAAAGCTTATGTATGGAGCCTCCACTACATCACTTCCAAGACTATTCAACTTCCTGACAACTCTGTAACTGAAGAAATACATCCTAACATCCCTGTGATTCATCCGAGTCTTCAACTTCCAACTGTGATCCCTTGTCGCTGTATCCCATCTCTGGAACATCCTGTCTCTATTCTCCTTGTCGATTCTTCTCAGTATTTTATGTCGTTATCACATCCTCCCTATCTCTCCTGTCCTCCAGTGTCGTCAGATCGATTTCCCTTAACCTCTCTTCGCAGGACATTCCCCTTAGCTCCGGGACTATCTTGTTGCAAACTTTTGCACTTTCTCTAATTTCCTTACGTACTTGGTTAGGTGTGGGTTCCAAAGTGGTGCTGCATACTCCAATATAGGCCTAACGTACACGGTGTACAGGGTCCTGAACGATTCATTATTGAGGTGTCGGAATGCTATTCTTAGGTTTGCTAGGCGCCCGTATGCTGCAGCAGTTATTTGGTTGATATGCACCTCAGGAGATGTGCCCAGTGTTATATTCACCCCAAGATCCTTTTCCTTGAGTGAGGTTTGTAGTCTCTGACCCCCTAGACTGTACTCTGTCTGCAGTCTCCTTTGCCCTTCCTCAATCTTCATGACTTTGCACTTGGTGGGACTGAACTCCAGGAACCAGTTTCTGGACCAGGCCTGCAGCCTGTCCAGATCCCTCTGTAGTTTTTCCTGGTCCTCGTTCGATTGAATTCTTTTCATCAGCTTCGCATCATCTGCAAACAGGGACACTTCTGAGTCTTCCTTCCGTCATGTCGTTCACATATATCAGAAACAGCACCGATCCTAGGACTAACCCCTGTGGAACCCCGCTCGTCATAGACGCCCACTCTAACACCTCGTCACGTACCACGACTCGCTGTTGTCTTCCCGATAGGTATTCCCTGATCCAGTGCAGTGCCTTCCCTGTTATCCCTGCCTGGTCCTACAGCTTTTGCACTAATATCTTGTGTGGAACTGTGTCAAACCCCTTCTTACAGTCCAAGAAAACGCAATCTTCCCACCCTTCTCTCTCGGTCTTGTCTTACTGCTGTCACCATGTCGTAGAACTCCAGTAGGTTTGTGACACAGGATTTCCCGCCCCTGTGCTGGTTGTCGTTGATAAGCTCATTCCTTTCTAGGTGCTCCACCACTTCTGATAATCTCCATGACTTTGCATACTATACATGTCATATGTGTGTGTATGTGTATGTATGTATGTTTGTGTGTGTACTCACCTAATTGTGGTTGCAGGGGTCGAGACTCGGCTCCTGGCTTGTGTGTACTCGCCTAGTTGGGGTTGGAGGGGTCGAGTCCTAGTTCCTGGCCCCGCCTCTTCACTGGTCGCTACTAGGTCACTCTCGCTGAACCGTGAGCTTTATCATACCTCTGCTTAAAGCTATGTATGGATCCTCCCTCCACTACATCGCTTCCCAAACTATTCCACTTCCTGACTACTCTGTGGCTGAAGAAATACTTCCTAACATCTCTGTGATTCATCTGTGTCTTCAACTTCCAACTGTGTCCCCTTGTTACTGTGTCCCATCGCTGGAACATCCTGTCTTTGTCCACCTTGTCAATTCCTCTCAGTATTTTGTAAGTCGTTATCATGTCCCCCCTATCTCTCTTGTCCTCCAGTGTCGTCAGGTCGATTTCCCTTAACCTCTCCTCGTAGGACATACCCCTTAGCTCTAGGACTAGTCTTGTTGCAAACCTTTGCACTTTCTCTAGTTTCTTTACGTGCTTGGCTGGGTGTGGGTTCCAAACTGTTGCCGCATACTCCAATATGGGCCTAACGTACACGGTGTACAGGGTCCTGAACGATTCCTTATTAAGATGTCGGAATGCTGTTCTGAGGTTTGCTAGGCGCCCATATGCTGCAGCAGTTATTTGGTTGATGTGTGCCTCAGGAGATGTGCCTGGTGTTATTCTCACCCCAAGATCTTTTTCCTTGAGTGAGGTTTGTAGTCTCTGGCCCCCCTGGATACCTGGAGGTTATACCGGGGATCAACGCCCCCGCGGCCCGGTCCATGACCAGGCCTCCCGATGGATCAGGGCCTGATCAACTAGGCTGTTACTGCTGGCCGAACGCAGTCCAACGTAAGAGCCACAGCCCGGCTGATCCGGCACTAACTGTAGGTATCTGCCCAGCTCTCTCTTGAAGGCAGCCAGGGGTTTATTGGCAATTCCCCTAATGTTTAATGGGAGGCTGTTGAACAGTCTTGGGCCCCGGACACTTATGGTGTTTTCCCTTAATGTACCAATGGCGCCCCTTCTTTTTATTGGGGGCATTTTGCATCGCCTGTCCAGTCTTTTACTTTCGTAGGGAGTGATTTCTGTGTGCAGATTTGGGACCATTCCTTCCAAGATTTTCCAAGTGTAGATTATAATATATCTCTCCCTCCTGCGTTCCAACGAGTACAAGTCAAGTGCTTCCAAGCGTTCCCAGTAGTTAAGGTGCTTGACAGAACTTATACGTGCAGTAAAGGATCTCTGTACACTCTCTAGATCTGCGATTTCACCTGCTTTGAATGGAGATGTTAATGTACAGCAGTATTCCAGCCTAGAGAGAACAAGTGATTTGAAAAGGATCATCATTGGCTTGGCGTCTCTCGTTTTGAACGTTCTCATTATCCATCCTATCATTTTCTTTGCACGTGCGATCGTGGCACTGCTGTGATCTTTGAAAGTGAGATCCTCAGACATTACTACTCCCAGGTCCCTTACATTATTTTTCCGCTCTATTGTATGGCCAGAGTCTGTAGTATACTCTGTTCTAGTTATTATCTCCTCCAGTTTTCCATAACGGAGTAGTTGGAATTTGTCCTCATTGAACATCATATTGTTTACCGTTGCCCACTGGAAAACTTTGTTTATATGTTCTTGGAGGTTAACCGCGTCCTCAGCAGATGACAGCCTCATGCAGATTCTAGTATCATCCGCAAAGGATGATACAGACTGTACTCTGTCTGCAGTCTTCTTTGCCCTTCCCCAATCTTCATGACTTTGCACTTGTTGGGGTTGAACTCCAGGAGCCAATTGCTGGACCAGGACTGCAGCCTGTCCAGATCCCTTTGTAGTTCTGCCTGGTCTTCGACCGAATGAATTCTTCTCATCAACTTCAGGTCATCTTCAAACAGGGACACTTCGGAGTCTATTCCTTCCGTCATGTCGTTCACAAATACTAGAAACAGCACTGGTCCTAGGACTGACCCCTGTGGGACCCCGCTGGTCACAGGTGCCCACTCTGACACCTCGCCACGTACCACGACTCGCTGATGTCTTCCTGACAAGTATTCCCTGATCCATTGTAGTGTATTCCCTGTTATTCCTGCCTGGTCCTCCAGTTTTTGCACTAACCTCTTGTGTGGAACTGTGTCAAACGCCTTCTTACAGTCCAAGAAAACGCAATCTACCCACCCTTCCTCTCTCTATTGTCTTACTGCTGTCACCCTGTCATAGAACTCCAGTAGGTTTGTGACACAGGATTTCCCGTCCCTGAAACCACGTTGGCTGCTGTTGATGAGATCATTCCTTTCTAGGTGTTCACCACTCTTCTCCTGATAATCTTCTCCATGACTTTGCATACTATACATGTCAGTGACACTGGTCTGTAGTTTAGTGCTTCATGTCTGTCTCCTTTTTTAAAAATTGGGACTACATTTGCTGTCTTCCATGCCTCAGGCAATCTCCCTGTTTCGAGAGATGTATTGAATATTGTTGTTAGGGGTACATATAGCTCCTCTGCTCCCTCTCTCAGGACCCATTGATAGATGTTATCCGGCCCCATTGCCTTTGAGGTATTTAGCTCACTCAGAAGCCTCCTCACTTCTTCCTCAGTTGTGTGTACTGTGTCCAGCACTTGGTGGTGTACCTCACCTCTCCGTCTTTGTATCTCATGTTGAGTTCCTCACATACTTCACGGACGTTTCTTGTTGTCTCTCCTTCCTTCCTTAGCCTGGTTACTTGGTCCTTGACTGTTTTCCTCCTGATGTGGCTGTATAACAGCTTCGGGTCAGATTTGGCTTTGTCTGCTATGTCGTTTTCATATTGTCGTTGGGCCTCCCTTATCTGTGCATATTCATTTCTGGCTCTACGACTGCTCTCCTTATTCTCCCGGGCCCTTTGCCTTCTATACTTCTTCCATTCCCTAGCACACTTGGTTTTTGCCTCCCTGCACCTTTGGGTGAACAACTTGTAGCTCTACTGTGTATTCAAAGCTTAAAACTACATGATCGCTGGCCCCAAGGGGTCTTTCATATGTGATGTGCTCAATATCTGCACTACTCAAGGTGAATACTAGGTCCAGTCTTGCTGGCGTGTGTGTGTGTGTGTGTGTGTGTGTGTGTGTGTGTGTGTGTGTGTGTGTGTGTGTGTGTGTGTGTGTGTGTGTGTCTGCGCGAGCATAAACAAAATTAATTCAATGTTAAAAGAAACTAAAATTTTCCCACCTTGGGCAGAGGATAAACCTGGCAGTTGTATAGGAGATACTTGACAATATTCAAGTGTCCCTCTGACGTAGCTACATGCAGTGCTGTTCTGCCATCATAATCTTTGGCTTGCATGTCACTTCCTGAGAGAGAGTGTCTGAGGAAAACAAGATGATGGATCAATCAGTAAATGAAGTGTTTGTCTCCTCTTTGTTTCTTATTCTTAACTGGCTAAGCAATTAATAGGTTTAAGTTCTTTAATCCCATTTGTGTTTGATTAAGCTTACAATCTAATATTTATGTTCGATTTTCATTTCCTTATACAATGTAGTTATCCAATTTTCCTTTATGCTAATGTTACTTGTGTACCTTCAATATAACAGATGTAATTTGTTTATATACTTTTACCTTCTGAGAGCAGAGAGATCCCCAGCAGCAGCAGAGAAGAGCAAGTCAAAGAGAATCTGTGCCTTTGACTCAGCCTTGGCCATGCGTGGGTCACACTTGGAGGTGAAGTGACCACGCAGGTTGTCGAAGTTGTGGAAATTGAAACGAGATACCAGTTCCTACAGGGAATATAATAAAACAACTTCACATACTGGCTCTTGAAGGGAGGATGAAGGGGTGCTTTATGTTAGTAAAGGTCTCTTAACCCGAGAAATTAGTTACCCTCTACTTCCTAGGATCACATTTGAATACTTAACATTCTCCAATGGCTATATGTCCCTCACGGGTCTTAATGATGTCATGTTTTTTAACATGCAAGAAATGCTCTGTATAATCAGTAGTTTTCCAAACAGCTTGTAACTTTTTGCAACTTTTTGTAATAATTTGCATTTGTAACAATTACAAGCTCTTTTTTGTAAATACACCTCGTATTCATTTTGATTCATTACATATCGGAACCTTCACATGCCAGTCCCTGCTCTGATATACATGTTGGTCAAGTATTAAAACTGAAGACAGAGAACACATAATTTTCCTGCTATTAGTGTTAGCGTTAATGATCACCATTCAAGGGAGGTTCCTTGACGCTGGTGAGGGGCTACTGATGCAACCAACTGGCTTGACCTCCGCTCTCACTCAACTGATTATCTCCCATTCCCCAAGGATTTAGCGTTTACCTTGAATGTAATACAACATCTACTACTATTACTAGTAATAATAATAATGTTCAGGATCAGATATCTAACAAAATCTAAACAACTTGGAAGATGATTTGAGTTAGTTAATTATATTTTTGCTTAGTGAATATCAGTGAATCAAATGGATTTAACTAATCCCAGCTTATTGACAAATTTGCTTCTACCTTTATTATTTTAATAACTAAGTATTCATAAGCAATCTTAAATAGGTGGTTTCCCTATTAATACAAAATACCAGGCAGTCATCTTAACCACAGGCAACAAAGCACTGTTGTAAAAAAAAAAAAGTCAAATGGGTGATTGTTGACGGAGCCTTAATAAATGGGCTGCAAAATCCTATGTGAAAGTGTGATATAGTTATCAGGAGGAAGAGTTGAAAATACACAGCTTACTTCCCTCCAACAGTGACGAGCACTCGTAACTTACCATACAAAACTGGACAGCACGGCAGGAATTTCCATTGGAGTCCAGAGGAGGTGACCAGAGGCAGATACCCATGGTGTTGGGCACTACCAACAGCACACAACCCGATACCCCAGACTTAGATGGCAGGCCAACCTGAGAGAATAATAATAATCTTAAAACACTGTTTCAGTCACCATATTTTCTTAACCAAAAAAAAATAAGAAAATCTTATTCAGGGAATTATGATAGTCATGTAAAACCTCGCTGAAAATTTGTTACTGAATATATTTATTAATATAGTTTATATACGATGACTTAATGGAGGTACCTCGATGCCGGTAAAGGGCTCTTGATGCAGGGAACTGCAGCTATTTCCCTACCCCTTCTAGGATCAAACTAGGAAGGTTCACATTCCCTATACCTCAGGTGTTATATGGCCCCTACGCTTTTAGGGTTCCACCATGAAAATACTACTACTACTACTACTACTACTACTAATAATAATAATAATAATAAATGCGCTGAACTTCAAGACAACCTTGCCTCTCTATAGTCAGTACCTGTATATCATTACATATATATATGATGGATGGATGTCGGGGTGTGTGTATATATAATTATATATATATATATATTATATATATATATATTTTTATATTATAAAAAATTTTTTTTTTTTTTAAAAATTTTATTTTTATTTTTATTGTTTTATTTTTTATATTATATATTATTAATATATATATATTTATATTATATATAATAATATATATATATATTATATATAAAAATTATATATATATATATATTATATATATAAATATTTTAAATATATATATATATTTATTATAATTATTTATATATTATATAATATATAAAATTAAAATAATATTTAAATTTAATATAAAATATATATTATTTATTTATATATATTTTTAATATATATTTTTATATATATAATTTTTAAAATATTATATTTATATATATATAATAATATATAATATTATTATTATAATAATAAAAATTTATTTTATTATAAAAATTTATATATATATATATATATATATATATATATATAATGATGGATGAAAGAGATAAAGGAAATTTAAACCCAAAGACGGGGATCCTCATTTATGGAAGTAATTTGAATTTTTTTACAACTTTTCAATTTTGAAAAAAAAATTGATTTTGAATATTTTACAAATAAACGTCAAGGAAAAATTACTTAATAGTTTTTACTGAAAATTTATGCGTGAACACTTAAAAAAAAATAAAAACCCCAAACTTACTTTGAACTTAATAAAAAATGGATGCTAATCTAGTAACCTAAAATCCCAAGGTAGCAGAACTTAGTGAAAGGCTACAACTTAGTTCAAGTTTCGTAACGTGATCGTACGTGGATTAAACACAGTCCTTAAAAGGAAAAAGGCCAGAAAAATTTTTAATCCAAGGATGCAGGGTGAGTGTTTTCCCCTGCAGCATCCACGGTGACACGGGGTCGCCTGTGGGGGGTTGAACCACCAGGGAAAGGTTTTAGCTGCCCAGCGCCCCGGACTCCCCCGGGTGATCTCAAGGAAATGCTGTAACACGTTTTTAAAATATTTGCTACAAAGTTTTTTTATTAAGGGAAAATAGTGGGCACAGTTTTTTGGTTTGCACTTTCGAATGTTACCGTGAAATACTTTAAAAATTCAATCAGTTACATATGAACAAAATTTTTGTTCCTGGCAATATTATTTTCCAACTTTTTAATTGCAAAACAATGAAAATCCCTATTTCCATTTAAATTTGTTTTGTGGTTACAATATAAAATTTTTGAAAAAAATGGCAAATTTCGATTTTTTTTGCTATTTTGGTTTTTAAAACGAAAAATATATAAATAAAATTTTACATAAAAAAATAAATTTCACATTTTTTTTTTAAACGTTCTGAATTATTTACAAAATTTTTTAAAAAAAAACAGTTTTTTAGATTTGCAAGCATGCAACAAAACATTTCCCCTTGAAGCCCCCCCAAAAGTCCCATCATGTTTTCATTTTAAAATCCCTGAATCTGTGTTCGAAGTCCCTTATATTTGGTGAAAACGCCCCCCTTGCTCCTCTGAGTTGCTCCCCAAATTTTCCTTTGAAATTTTCAAGATGAGCTCAAGGTATGGACCCACGGGCATCCCAAAGCCCTTCTGCCAAAAAGATTTTACCAGGTCTCAACAAGTTCCACAAATTGTCGCCTTGTTGTTGCCCCGAAAGTCCGTGCTACAGCCAAAACCCCAGGCTTCCTTTTCCTTTCGCGACTTCTTTGAAATTCAGGGACTCCCTGTTTCATGACTTTTGGTCCCGTAAAAATGTCAGCCTTCCCTTTGCCCTGAAAGTTGGGAAAAAGTCTTGAAAATACTTGAAGGGTGCATTTCTTTGTCAAGAACTGTAACAAACTGCTTCATTAGCCCCAGTTTGATGTTAATGGGGGAAAAGAACTTTTGGGAACCACCAATGGTTTATGTTAGATATTTTGTCTTCCCGTTGAGAACTCGTCCTTTGAGGTTTATGTTTCCCCTGGTAATGTGCTCTCTGTCTTCTATCCCAGTGACAGAGTAACAGGAAAACTTGGCAAAAAACCCCCTTTTTAGTCCCATCATTTTGAAGTCTCCAATAACCCCCCAGCCAACTTTCATGTTCAAAACTTTTCCCGTAAAGTTTACATTTGTAGTCCCCTTAATAGCAATTAATGAGCCAAGGGAAAAGAAAATATTTTCCCACTGTGCGAAGTACAGCTTTTGGTTATGGGGAGGGGTCCAAGAAGAGTCTCCCCATCTGGATTGCTTTTCAATTCCAATTGCTTTAAAAAAGCCTTGCATCATTACGGACAACCCGTCTTCATTATGAAAAAGCTTAGAAAAGCTGGTACGTTTTTTTTGGCTTGTCATTTCACACTTTCATCCCCCAAGTCCCACTCCTTTGGGCCTTGAAAACAAAAGCTCGCATTTGATTTGCAAACCCAAAATCCTGACAAGGTCATTTAGGGGGTTGGTTTTGGGGGAGTAAGGATTCCTCCCATCACCTGCAAATGTAAGATCATGGTCTTCTTCTGAGAGTTGACTTTTTTCTGGAGGTGTAGGCACAGGAAGATCAGCACTGTGTGGTGCTGGTGCAATAAAAGAAGGAAGGTCTGGATAAGAAATAGCAGGTGCATTTTTCCCAGTTCGGTGTTTGGAAGGATCCACCAGACAGAAGTAACAGTTAATTGAGTGATCAGTGGTTGACGCCATATTCTAGGAACACCAAACTTCATGGTTCTTTTTTCTCCTCTATACCATCTTGTAAAAGAACAAAATAATTAGTTTCTGTTGTATGTATGTCATTTAAAAAATGTTCCTATTCAAGATTTTACCCTTCATATAACTAATGACTTTCTTACCTTTCAATGTTTTCTTACAATGTTCACAGCAACATGAGGCGCCCAGGTCTTGTCTTGGTCCACAACTTGCGTGCCAAAATATGCTTTGTAAGCTTCACACATTTTTTTTAGATGCTGTTACAGAGAACTTTTTTGCTCTTGTCTTAATAAATTGACCACATATGTAGCAGAATTCATCTGGAGAATAACTACAGCCTCTTGATGCCATTTCACGTCTTCTGATGTGTGTCTTCTCAGGCAGCCAGAGCTGAACTGAATGCTGGTTTGTGAGTCAGTTTTTATATATGCCAAGTAAAACCCTAGAACATAACAGTTTTACATCAGTCTTTCTTGAGAGTGTTCCAGAAGTGTCCTGACCACAAAAACAAAATTCTGAGATCAAAACTGCTTTTTTTAAACTTTGTTTAGTTATAAAGAATTGGGAAATGATGCTTATTTCCCATGAACACGGCAAAAGTGAAATTTTCTTACGTAGTGTTATATACACAAATAACCCGCACATAAAAAAGAGAAGCTTACGACGACGTTTCGGTCCGTCTTGGACCATTGACAAAGTCAAAGTGACTTTGTCAATGGTCCAAGTCGGACCGAAACGTCGTCGTAAGCTTCTCTCTTTTATGTGCGGGTTATTTGTGTATCGTTCCAGTCACGGTATTGTGCCTTTTTGTTATTTATTTGTAGTGTTATATATTTGACAAGCAAATAATAGTTCCCACAGTCCTACGTGTTCTTCAGATATTATATTAAAAGTTCTTTACCTATGGGTTTTCCTTGTTACTAAGCAACTGGTTAACACACTTTTACTCAACAGCAAGTCAGAAAATTTCATACATTCTGTACAAGTATCCACTTAATTTGTTGTTGGTCTACACTCTAAATAAAACTAATTGGGCAAAAGTTTTATGGGAGTTGCCTAATGATTTTGAGGATTTTATCACCTGCATTCAGATAAAATCGCAAGAACCAACAACATATTTAGTTTATGAACTTATTATTTCTTACATTGCTATGATGCGCTGCATTATGTGTGACTGCTGCTGCTGGAAAATACAGGGCGATCTTTCAGAATTCAAGCACTAAAGCAAAGTGACAATGCACAAATAACCCGCACATAAAAGAGAGAAGCTTACGACGACGTTTCGGTCCGACTTGGACCATTGACAAAGTCACACTGTGTGACTTTGTCAATGGTCCAAGTCGGACCGAAACGTCGTCGTAAGCTTCTCTCTTTTATGTGCGGGTTATTTGTGTATTGTTCCAGTCACGGTATTGTGCCTTTTGTTATTTATTTATTCAAAGTGACAATGTTTTAACTAAGTTTACCAGAGGAGGCACGAGTGCAGTTACAGCTCACAGAGACATCAAGACACTAGCTAGACAATGTTTCGCCTGTGAAGTGTTATCAAAAACCTTTTTCAGGCGGAACATCATGTCAAAGTTTAGTTCTTTTCGTTACCCTATTACATATTTGTCAGCAATTACGGTGTTCTTTTCAACGAAACCATCAGTTCATATTTTACACAAACACACAACATTATGTTTTATAGTGTTTTGCAGTATTATGCCCTTCTGTGTTTCTGAATTTTTATAATTTCCATAATTAGAATCTTACCCTTGACCGAGTTCTTCAGTAGCTTGCACTGAACTTACTCTCCCTGTACTTTAAATCTACAAGGTTCTACATACCTGAAAATAGAAATCCAGTGTCTCATGGAGACGGGTTCCCTCAGGGAAGCACTTGTTCTCTCTCATGAAGTAGGCCAGAGCAAAGTTGCGGTCTGCACACTCCTTCTCAGACAGGAAGACTGCGTTATTGAAGCCTAAGTACTCACCGCCTCCAAGTCGCTTATACATGTTAAACACCTGTCCAGGAAAATATACATTTGTTAATGTTATCCATGCAAATTATAGCTATTATCACTTCTCTAACTATAAATCATACTTAAATCACATTAAAAATCACAATATGTGAAATTTATATCTGAATCCAGATTTGAGTCCTATGTGACTGAAATAAAATGTTTTACTAAAAGATTTAGCAAAGTGTGCGAGATGATAAGCTTGTAATGCTGCAGCTCACACTATTAAATACTGGGGTTGATTACAGTGCCAAATATAATATCTGGACTCACCGACTATAAACAAAATTCTCTGACATAATAGATTCTAATAATTAGCAAGTAATGTTTGAGAATAGAATGCGACTCTCCACATGATATTTCAGTATATAATAAGTATAAAAAGTAAAAGAAGGAGTGAAGAACGCATGAAGGAGGTACTGGTCCCCAGGACCAAGATACTTACAAAGTCGAAGCGGTCTGCAGCTGATAGATCAGGCTGGGGAGAGAAAATATAGTCAGTTTTCAACTCTCAAGAGTGTGAATATTAAACGTGAATTTACCTATTATGTCTTTACACACACACACACACACACACACACACACACACACACACACACACACACACACACACACACACACACACACACACAGTTTGGAATCCACACCTGGTCAAGCACGTCAAGAAATTAGAGAAAGTGCAAAGGTTTGCAACAAGACTAGTCCCAGAGTTAAGGGAACTGTCCTACAAAGAAAGGTTGAGGGGAATCGGCCTGACGACACTGGAGGACAGGAGGGTCAGGGGAGACATGATAACGACATATAAAATGCTGCGAGGAATTGACCAGGTGGACAAAGGATGCTCCAGAGATGGGACACAGAAACAAGGGGTCACACTCGGAAGTTGACTCCGATGAGTCAAAGGGATGTTAGGAAATATTTCTTCAGTCGTAGAATTGTCAGGAAATGGAATAGCCTAGAAAGAGACGTAGTGGAGGCAGGAACCTTACATAGATTGAAGACGAGGTTGGATAAAGCTCATGGAACAGGGAGAGACAGGACCAAGTAGCAATCGGTGAAGAGGCGGGGCCAGGAGCTGTGACTTGACCCCTGCAACCACAAATAGGGGAGTACACACACACACACACACATGACGTGAAGTTGATGAGAAGAATTCACTCGATCGAAGATCAGGCAGAACTACAAAGGGATCTGGACAGGCTGCAGACCTGGTCCAGCAATTGGCTCCTGGAGTTCAATCCCACCAAGTGCAAAGTCATGAAGATTGGGGAAGGGCAAAGAAGACCGCAGACGGAGTACAGTCTAGGGGGCCAGAGACTACAAACCTCACTCAAGGAAAAAGATCTTGGGGTGAGTATAACACCAGGGACATCTCCTGAAGCGCACATCAACCAAATAACTGCTGCAGCATATGGGCGCCTAGCAAACCTCAGAACAGCATTCCGACATCTTAATAAGGAATCGTTCAGGACCCTGTACACCGTGTACGTTAGGCCCATATTGGAGTATGCGGCACCAGTTTGGAACCCACACCTAGCCAAGCACGTAAAGAAACTAGAGAAGGTGCAAAGGTTTGCAACAAGACTAGTCCCAGAGCTAAGAGGTATGTCCTACGAGGAGAGGTTAAGGGAAATCAACCTGACGACACTGGAGGACAGGAGAGATAGGGGGGACATGATAACGACATACAAAATACTGAGAGGAATTGACAAGGTGGACAAAGACAGGATGTTCCAGAGACTGGACACAGCAACATGGGGACACAGTTGGAAGCTGAAGACACAGATGAATCACAGGGATGTTAGGAAGTATTTCTTCAGCCACAGAGTAGTCAGTAAGTGGAATAGTTTGGGAAGCGATGTAGTGGAGGCAGGATCCATACATAGCTTTAAGCAGAGGTATGATAAAGCTCACGGTTCAGAGAGAGTGACCTAGTAGCGATCAGTGAAGAGGCGGGGCCAGGAGCTCGGACTCGACCCCCGCAACCTCAACTAGGTGAGTACAACTAGGTGAGTACACACACACAAGGGGACGGTAAGCAACAACGGAGACATGCCGTACGCGAAGGCCCGATCAGACCCACGTGGGGCCAGGGAAAAGACGAGGAGCACACTAAGATCAAATGACAGGTCCGAAGACAATGAAGGTATACTATATGCAGAGATTCTAAAAGCCAACTGCAGTAGCAAGGGACAGCTGGTCATGAAAGACAGTTCACTGAGAATAGAAGTTTCAGATATGACAGGGACTGAAGGCAAGAACATGTCAATGGAAGGAAATAAAATGCCTCAGAGGAAGCAGATGGAGACTCAGTGGGAGGAGGAAAGGGCGAGGTCAGTTTTTGTGTATGGGCTCCAAGAAGCCAAGGGGGACAACTTTGAAGAAATAAAACAGGAGGAGAAAAAAATGATTGAAGGCATCATGAAAACAATAGGTGAGGGCGATATGACCCAGGTGACAAATTTTCAGAGAATTGGGTGGTTTGCGAGTGGAAGGATACGGTCTGTCAAAGTAATTTTCAAGGAAGAATCAGTTCGAACCAGGATTCTGCAAGAGAAAGCAAGACTGAGAGACAAACAGGGGTACCAGAGAGTATACCTCGACCGCGACAGAACACAAGAAGAAAGGACTACACTGAAAGAGAGGATACAGAGACGCAAGGAGGAACGAGAGGCAATGACGAAGATGAGCAGGACCCAGACACAGGAGGAAGGGCAAACACACCCCACAGAATCTCCCACCAAAAGACTCCAACCGCGACATTCCCAACGCAACTGAGCAACCTATACTACAACCCACTCACTGTTCCCTCTGCCACCAACCCCCATATCACAAACCTCACCCCAACAGCTGTCCCTTATGGGCATTCTGACCCCACCCCCATCATCACAAACCCCACCTACACCACAGCCCCATATACGCCCCCACCAAGGCTCTCGCTCCCCAACCCCAATATTCTTGCATGACCACAATGATAGAAAAGAAACAAAGTTTGGTACACAAACGAGGATGAAATAACGAATAAACATGAGGAGTGGAACGAAAGAATCAGTGAAAAATCTGGTGGTTAACGCTCTCGCTTCACACGGCGAGGGCCTGGGTTCGATTCCCAGCCAGAGTAGAAACATTGGACGTGTTTCTTTCCACCTGTTGTCTATGTTCCCCATCAGTAAAATGGGTACCTGGGTGTTAGTCGACTGGTGTGGGTCGCATCCTGGGACACTGACCTAAGGAGGCCTGGTCACAGACCGGGCCGCGGGGGCGTTGACCCCCGGAACTCTCTCCAGATAAACTCCAGATCTCCAGATAAACATCATAGCAGTCACAGAAACAAAACTCGCTGAGACAATAACAGACACAATCTTCCCAACGGGATATCAGATCCTGAGGAAAGATAGAAGGAGTAGAGGGGGAGGAGGGGTTGCACTGCTCATAAAACACCGATGGGAATTTGAGGAAATGGAAGGCATGGACATGATTGGAGAAAGAGACTACATTGTAGGTACAATTCAGTCTGGAGAACATAAAGTAGTCATTGGAGTGATGTATAACCCACCACAGAACTGCAGGAGGCCAAGAGAGGAGTACGAAGAAAACAACAGGGTGATGGTGGACACACTGGCTGAGGTGGCAAGAAGAGCTCACTCAAGCAGAGCAAAGTTACTGGTAATGGGCGATTTCAACCACAGGGAGATCGACTGGGAAAACCTGGAGCCACATGGGGGTCCCGAAACATGGAGAGCCAAGATGATGGATGTGGTACTTGAAAACCTCATGCATCAACATGTCAGGGACACAACCAGAGAGAGAGGGGAGGATGAGCCAGCAAGACTGGATCTTGTGTTCACCCTGAGCAGTTCAGACATTGAGGACATCACTTACGAGAGGCCCCTTGGAGCTAGCGATCACGTGGTTCTGAGTTTTGATTATATAGTAGAGTTACAAGTGGAGAAGGTAACAGGAACTGAAGGGGACAGGCCAAACTATAAAAGGGGGGACTACACAGGTATGAGAAACTTCCTGCAGGAGGTTCAGTGGGACAGAGAAATGGTAGGAAAATCAGTAAACGAGATGATGGAATATGTGGCAACAAAGTGCAAGGAGGCAGAGGAAAGGTTTGTTCCCAAGGGAAACAGAAATAATAGGAAGACCAAAACGAGTCCTTGGTTTACCCGAAGGTGTAGGGAGGCAAAAACTAAGTGCAACAGAGAATGGAAAAGGTACAGGAGGCATAGGACCCAGGAAAACAAGGAGATTAGCAGAAGAGCCAGAAACGAGTATGCACAGATAAGGAGGGAGGCCCAGCGACAGTATGAAAACGACATAGCATCGAAAGTCAAATCTGACCCGAAACTGCTGTATAGCCACATTAGGAGGAAGACAACAGTCAAGGACCAGGTGATAAGGCTGAGGAAAGAAGGTGGAGAACTCACAAGAAATGATCAAGAGGTATGCGAGGAGCTCAACACGAGATTTAAGGAAGTATTTACAGTAGAGACAGGAAGGACTCTGGGGGGACAGACCAGATGGGGACACCAGCAAGGAATACACCAACAAGTGTTGGACGACATACATACAGATGAGGAGGAGGTGAAGAAACTGCTAAGGGACATCGATACCTCAAAGGCAATGGGACCGGACATCTCCCCGTGGGTCCTTAGAGAGGGAGCAGATATGGTGTGCGTGCCACTTACCACAATCTTCAACACGTCCCTGGAAACTGAGCAACTACCTGAGGTATGGAAGACGGCAAATGTAGCTCCCATTTTTAAAAAAGGAGACAGAAAAGAGGCACTAAACTAAAGACCTGTGTCATTGACGTGTATAGTATGCAAAGTTATGGAGAAGATTATCAGGAGGAGAGTGGTGGAGCACCTGGAACGGAACAAGAGTATAAATGCCAACCAGCACGGATTCATGGAAGGCAAATCCTGTGTCACAAACCTTCTGGAGTTTTATGATAAAATAACAAAAGTAAGACACGAGAGAGAGGGGTGGGTTGATTGCATCTTCTTGGACTGCAAGAAGGCCTTTGACACAGTTCCTCACAAGAGATTAGTGCAGAAGCTAGAGCATCAGGCGCATATAACAGGAAGGGCACTGCAATGGATCAGAGAATACCTGACAGGGAGGCAACAACGAGTCATGGTACGTAATGATGAATCACAGTGGGCACCTGTGACGAGCGGGGTTCCACAGGGTCGGTCCTAGGACCAGTGCTATTTTTGGTATATGTGAACGACATGATGGAAGGGTTAGACTCAGAAGTGTCCCTGTTTGCAGACGATGAGAATTAAATCTGATGAGGACCAGGCAGGACTTCAAAGAGACCTGGACAGACTGGACACCTGGTCCAGCAAATGGCTTCTCGAATTTAATCCTGCCAAATGCAAAGTCATGAAGATAGGGGAAGGGCACAGAAGACCACAGACAGAGTATAGGCTAGGTGGCCAAAGACTGCAAACCTCACTCAAGGAG